TTTCTTGTCCTCCATTGATATATCCTTGTCACTGTCCTATCCTCAGTGACATAGCTTTGGTACTTTCCTGTCCTCAGTTACATAACCTTGGTACTTTCCTGTCCTCAGCGACATAGCTTTGGTACTTTCCTGTCCTCAGTTACATAACCTTGGTACTTTCCTGTCCTCAGTGACATAGCTTTGGTACTTTCCTGTCCTCAGTGACATAGCTTTGGTACTTTCCTGTCCTCAGTGACATAGCTTTGGTACTTTCCTGTCCTCAGTGACATAGCTTTGGTACTTTCCTGTCCTCAGTGACATAGCTTTGGTACTTTCCTGTCCTCAGTGACATAGCTTTGGTACTTTCCTGTCCTCAGTGACATAGCTTTGGTACTTTCCTGTCCTTAGTAGCATAGCTTTGGTACTTTCCTGTCCTCAGTGACATAGCTTCGGTACTTTCCTGTCCTCAGTGACATAGCTTTGGTACTTTCCTGTCCTCATTGACACAGCTCTTCGTGTCCTCCTCCCATCTCACCACACTGTCCTCCTCCCATCTCACCCTACTGTCCTCCTCCAAGCTCACCACACTGTCCTCCTCCAAGCTCACCCTACTGTCCTCCTCCCATCTCACCACACTGTCCTCCTCCCATCTCACCACACTGTCCTCTGAGCTCCAACACTGTCCTCCTACAAGCTCACCCTACTGTCCTCCTCCCAGCTCACCACACTGTCCTCTAAGCTCCAACACTGTCCTCTAAGATCCAACACTGTCCTCCTCCAAGCTCACCACACTGTCCTCCTCCAAGCTCACCACACTGTCCTCCTCTAAGCTCCACACTGTCCTCCAAGCTCACCACACTGTCCTCTAAGCTCCAACACTGTCCTCCTACAAGCTCACCACACTGTCCTCCTCCAAGCTCACCACACTGTCCTCCTCCCATCTCCAACCATACCCAACTGTGCCAATCTGATCTCTGAAGCTAACATAACCAGGCAGTGATACTGGAGCTATTTATAGATCTGGCATCATTGTCAGGCTAAACAAGACACTGGAGAGGAGGATCTGTGACAGCTGCATCAACTGGCCACTGTAGCCCAGTGCCTGTAGCAGTTTGACCAGATCAGCTGGGATGAGGGAACAGGGCCTCAATGGACACAACAAACATGGCTGGAGTTGCATCAGCAGTTAGGCTATTTACTGAACAAGGAGACAGTTTCCATGACCCAATAAATGAAGCATTTGAATGTGGATCAATCTGTGTATGAGTCATAGATCAGATGTATTGATTTCTATCTTAGTAGTCTGGATTTGCGGGAAAACTGCCTTATTCTCCTTATTCTTTTGACTACTTGTAATGATTGTGTAATATCTTAGTCCTGTCTAAACAGAAGAGGACCTTTGCCAACATTCTGCAGATATCTTTAGTGAAGAAATATACCAAACCATCACCATTTACATCTGCTCAGCCAATTTTCACAGTGTGTAAACCATTTTCTTCAAATACCTTCATAAATGCAGTTGTTATTGATTAAGTTGCAATATTTAACTATCAACAGTAATAACAGATTGCTTGTTCAATCATTAACTCAAAAAGTATTTGTAGACAACAGAAACGAAATCAGTGGCATGCTCTGTGCAATAACAAAGTCCATTATCCGCCCTCAATATTGCAGCCAGTCAGGAATCAGTACACGACAAGAGGCCAAATGAACAGTTTGTTAAGCCTGTTGAATTCCATGGAATCACTTAAACAATTTTGTCTCACAGTTCATTGTATTGTTTTTGTTAGTAGATACCCTTTCAACAGCATAGTCAACATGCATATCTGTTACCTGTCAGTGAACAACAATAAACAAGTTTTCCTTGTGAGATTCTATTGCTTCCATCTTATAGGTCTTGTGATGGGCTGGGGACTAGGGGGTGTATTTGGCACCAACATTGTGGGTTCAGCCCATACTTGCTTTGGGGTTCATCCCCCAAAATATGCTAATGACGCTAACAAATCTGAAGAACTTCATCATAACAACGCTGGTAGCACGGGTTGCAGTTTGCTGTGCGTAGTTGCATCCCCAGGGCACACCATTAGCTTGTGATCTAGGTTTGTCAGCAGTACACCTGTACTTGTTGGCGTCATCAAGGTGGCACCTGCACCAACTAGTGGTTGCCTGTCACCGGGCTGATACAGAGCTGTCAACCTCTAAAGATGGTTTAGAGTGAGACCGAAAAAAATAAGCCGGGTTCCAACCGGGGTCATGTCGAGGGCGATGCCCTGGTGGGGGCAAAGCCCGCCGCCCCCGAAAATGAAGTTTAGTGATTTTCAGGAGCATTTGGAGCCTTCTGGTGGCATTATTTTGACACTAAAAGATGCATGCTAATAAATAATAATAAGCCGAATCATTCGCATAAACATCGTTTTAGTACTTCGTTCATTCAGGCGTTCTTTCAATGTTCAACTTTACGCAAAAACGAGCGAAAATGCGTATTAATTTTGAAATTATTTTTGGCTACCAGATATGCGTTAGATTATTTTTTGGAAGCGTGAGAGCATGACATTTGTCAATAAAGCGTGAAACTCGCGCCAATGCGTGAGAATTGACAGGTATGCTGATAGTGTGATGAACATGATGTGTGATCTGAACACAGTCAACTATTGGTTGCAACAGGCTGATAGTGTGATGAACATGGTGTGTTATCTGAACACAGTCAACTATTGGTTTCAACGGGCTGATAGTGTGATGAACATGGTGTGTGATCTGAACATAATCAACTATTGGTTGCAACGGGCTGATAGTGTGATGAACATGGTGTGTGATCTGAACACAGTCAACTATTGGTTGCAACGGGCTGATAGTGTGATGAACATGGAGTGTGATCTGAACACAATCAACTATTGGTTGCCTGTCACCGGGCTGATAGTGTGATGAACATGGTGTGTGATCTGAACACAATCAACTATTGGTTGCCTGTCACCGGGCTGATAGTGTGATGAACATGGTGTGTGATCTGAACACAGTCAACTATTGGTTTCAACGGGTTGATAGTGTAATGAACATGATGTGTGATCTGAACACAGTCAACTATTGGTTGCAACGGGGTGAAAGTGTGATGAACATGGTGTGTGATCTGAACACAATCAACTATTGGTTGCAACGGGCTGATAGTATGATGAACATGGTGTGTGATCTGAACACAGTCAACTATTGGTTGCAACGGGCTGATAGTATGATGAACATGGTGTGTGATCTGAACACAGACAACTATTGGTTGCACCGGGCTGATAGTGTGATGATCATGGTGTGTTATCTGAACACAATCAACTATTGGTTGCACCGGGCTGATAGTGTGATGAACATGGTGTGTGATCTGAACACAGTCAACTATTGGTTGCAACGGGCTGATAGTGTGATGAACATGGTGTGTTATCTGAACACAATCAACTATTGGTTGCCTGTCACTCGGCTGATAGTGTGATGAACATGGTGTGTGATCTGAACACAATCAATGACATGACCCACAAAACAAGGACATTGTCAGTCCTGGATATTTTGAGTATTTGACAAAGGTACATTTGTATTACTGTTAACTGCTGTTATGATGTGATCTGTTGTTAGGGAAACAAGATGAGCTATTGACCAGCAGATATGATTAAAAAATGTATCAGATTATAATTGTGGTCACAATCTCCATGGTTTTGATGATCCAGCAATTGTTTGTGCTGCCTGCATGTTTCTAGTATGGCTATAAGTGGCGTGGGTCTGCCATGCGATCAGACTTCAGCGTCCCGCCCACACTTGAGGCTGTGCACTGTGGATACAGGACAATCTGACATTGTTGTAATGTCACGAGTGCCCACGCGCAGTTGGTACACCATATTCTATACATCTGTGTTGGAGGGTTCAGGGGAGTGCTCATTGCGAGCAAGAAACGTATATCATAATAATGGTATGAACATTTACTTTGAAGCTGAATACAGACAACACGAGGGAGTTCCCCTCCCAAATAAGCCCAAAGTACACTGTAAATATTAGGCAAAGTGTTGGGACAGCAGAGTCATTGGAGGTGAAACTTTAGTTGAACAAACAACATTAAGAAGTTTCAGTGGAAGTTAAGAACTTTTAGATAGGTCATGGTTGAGTTTTTCTCAAGGTGAGGTATGATGGTGTAATGGTTGATGTGTTTGCTAAAGATTTGGGTTCAGCTGCACTCTTTGGCACTGTGTGAAGTGGATTCTTGGTTGACCTTGCTGCTGCAGTACGACCTTGCAGATTTACTCACTCATAAGTGCTGCAATAGGGAATCAACATACACATCTTGCTCAGTAGAACTAAACTTAGGCTCAGTATTATCCATTACACTGCTGAGTCAAACAAACCCAAGTAGAAGGTCGCGTCAGCTAACCTTTTGGACTGACCAATCAGAACACAGCTTACCAAATCACGAAGTTAACATTTGCACATATCGTTTGAACCTTTACCTAAAAAACTCGACAGATTTAGAATGCTATTTTCTGCCCAATCACATCCGAGTGATACACATGGAGGACGGAATGAGTAAACAGTCGCTGAACATAGTGTTTTGTCAATATTTAAGGATGTCATCTTGCAGAAATATAAGCTAATAGTAACCATGTCAGTAGAAACCCCTAATCGTATATACTGCAGGGCAAATATCTGAGTTGTATGCGGATTCTAATTTGTTGATAGATCAGTATCAGCGACAAGAGAAGAGAAAATCCAAAAAACCGTTTTGTATGTCCCGCCGAACCCTAAGAAGTAGTTGTTGTCTTATTGGTTAAACCCGTTCAGCCAGCTCGCGATTGATTGGCTGGTCATGGGTTGCTCAAAGGTTAGGTGTAACAAATAATACTGCACCTAAGTTTACTTAGACTGACATCTTGCTAAACTGTCAAATGTTATATTTTCAGTTATTTTGTCATGTGACATGTTTCACAGTGTGACCTTGATATGGAGGAGTGTCCAAAGTGATGCAGGACTTAGATATTTAGCGTTTTGGTGAAATCCACAAGCACAAACTAAATATATGGGATTCAAACTCAAGCCATGTGAAGATCCTGGTAAGAACAGGTCTTCATAAAGCCATGCCCATTGAAAGGGATTAGGAGGTCAGACTTTCCGAGTTGGCTAATGCATGTCATTGTATCCCAAATGTGTAGACAGGTGCTCATTATGTCAATCACTGGCTCGCTGGTTGAAAATTGGGTTACGTTACAGAATATTGCTCAGTGGGGCTTTAAACAACATTATCCAGCCTCATGTAAGAATGTCGAGTTTTGATTGGTTCACGTGACTGATAAAATACCATGTACACCCGTCACGATCCGCGAGCAGGGAGTACAAAAGTCGTATTATCCCGCCACGCCTCGGTGACCACGCGAAGTGAGCAAAGCGTGCATCGCCAAGCCTTTAGTAACGTGCGCTGCATTGAGGTTAATCGATCAGCTGGTGTCAACATGGCATCTCACATAAATAAAAACAAGTCGATTCGTAGCGTATTGTTTTCTTTTGATTTAGTAAAAACATTTGGCTAGATAAATGCGTTATCACATCGTGTCTCGGGAAATACAGGGTTTTATCAGTCCCGAGTAAGGTTGTATTCGGGACTGATAAAACCCTGTATTTCCCGAGACACGATGTGATAACTTATATAGACCAACGCCATAATAATAGTGATGAGGTATAGAAGGGACATAACTCTGAATTGCCAAATAGGCATTCCTCTCTGTTTGGGAGAGGGTTCAGGCCTGATACAAATGATGTCAAGATAGATGTGAAATGTACTTATTGGTAGAGTTAGTATCTGTAAACACCTCTCTGTTCTGATTTATAACAAAACATGTGGAGGGACTGAGAGAACTATAGATACGTGTGCTGGTGATGGAAACTATGCTTGACCACACAGCATAATCACTGCTATTTGTTGTAAGCACACAGTTTAAAAAATGTTGGACACATAATATGACCACAATATCCGGTTACCTACACTAATCAATGAAGTGTCTAATGCCTACTGACCTTGAACTTGAGTTAACTGCTTGAAGAAACTTCCTCATCTGTTGTCGATAATGACTTGCTGTTTGTTTTCAGACTGCTTATGGACGAGTGCGGAGGTCGGTACCTGTTGGAACTCCTGGGGCAGACAGCCAGGTAGAGTACACCACATCAGCAAGTGTCTGGGTAGGGTACACGATTGGACTATGCAGTGGCTGCAAGCAGGGTTAGAGGTAGAGGGATCAGGAAGGTGGGGTGAATAATTCCTGGCCTACATGCTACATGTGGAGAAATGAACCTGTGCTTGTCTTTTATGTCAATATTGATGCACCTATTACCATGAACATACCCATTTTACCCACCATACCCATCTTACCCACCATACCCATCTTACCCACCATACCCATCTTACCCATCTTACCCACTATACCCATCTTACCCACCATACCCATCTTACCCACCATACCCATCTTACCCACCATACCCATCTTACCCACCATACCCATCTTACCCACCATACCCATCTTACCCACCATACCCATCTTACCCACCATACCCCACTATACCCACCATACCCATCTACCCACCATACCCATCTTACCCACCATACCCATCTACCCACCATACCCATCTTACCCACCATACCCATCTTACCCACCATACCCATCTTACCCACCATACCCATCTTACCCACCATACCCATCTTACCCACCATACCCATCTTACCCACTATACCCATCTTACCCACCATACCCATCTTACCCACCATACCCATCTTACCCACCATACCCATCTTACCCACCATACCCATCTTACCCACTACCCATACCCATCTTACCCACTATACCCATCTTACCCACCATACCCATCTACCCACCATACCCATCTTACCCACCATACCCATCTTACCCATCATACCCATCTTACCCACCATACCCATCTTACCCACCATACCCACTGTGGATGTTCTCACGAGTATATATACACAGTGTTGATCCACCTACGAGTTGCTCCAGTGGTTACCTGGTTGGATGTTTTCGGGTTGTAATCAAGGTGGATGGGATATGGCTGACTAGAGGATACAGCAATATTGTAATTCACTCTCTGGCTTTAAATCAGTTTCTTCAGAAACTAAATGGTCTTTTTTTTGTTTTATAGAAACGCAGTTCCAGGTTTCACGCAGAGTTGGAGTCGGCCATGAACCTCATGCCCATCGCCAGCTCACCCCTTGACCCTGACATTCCCATCCGGAAGGTCATCAACATGTACCCACCTGTCGCAGAGCTATCCAGGGTCGCGACCCTTGACCTCCCGCCCACGCCCCCTCAAAGTAGCAGCTGTAGTGGTTTTGATATCCAGCAACCAGTGCGTCTCATTGGAGAAGAGGACTCTGAAAGTGGATGCGGTTGTCGTGGAGATGACCTCGAAGATGAAGGAATGGAGCTGTTTCCTCTCTGCGACCTTGATATTGAACAAATCGAAAACCATTAACTCAACAGTTATAACTCAGGAAGTTGGCATTGGGAAGAGTTATCTACTCTTGTGAGAAGGGAATTATCTCCCTTTGTCAGAACTTTACACAGTTGTAAAATATGTCTGAATCAAGCCTTGCCCTTGTTGATAAGAGAATATAACAATATATTTAAACTAAATCCAGAAAGTGCATTTTATTTGAAGTTTATTGTATAAGGGTATAACCCTACTAATTGAATGCTTAATTGTGTATAATTAATCATTAGCAATTAGCCGAGGTTTACATATTTTTATGACCGACAATTTGTGTCCTAGCAGCTGCTTTGAAGATGCTGTGTTGTGTCCACCTGTTACAATCCTCGATCCAGAGGCTGCTACATTGACATCACTCATCTTCTCACGCACATGTAATGACACTTATTTGCTGGTTGAGATTGTCACATTCCTAGCCCCAAGTCTCCCCGATGTTTGTCATGGCTTCACAAGCTTGTTACCAGTTTCATTTGAGGATCTTCCAGTAGTTTACTTTGACCTTACAATATTTGTTGGTGTATCATTCGTATTGCGTGTGTGTATGTGTATGTGTGTACAGGGATGTGCATTAGCGTGTGTATGTGTGTCACAGAGTACTTAAACTTGTTTATTCCAGTTCTGATGGATGTGTGTTGGTTGGAGTTTGTATTATACTGATGGCCACAAGTTAAACTACTGCAGAATTCAATATTTTGAATTCCATATATAAAAAAATTATTGATTGTTTTACAATATATGGTCAATCTGAGAGTAATTTGATTCTTAAATTAAATTCTGTTATTGATTGACTGCTTTTTCACATCATTTCTATTTTGACTTTAAAATCCACAAGCACAGATCGAGGAGTTATCGATGTTTTCATGTTATATACCACTCAAAGGAAGTTGAGGATCACCCAATTACTCTGTCATGGGATGTTTGAATGGATGGCCTAAGCTGTGAGATCACTAACCTCAGTGTTTGTAAGTTACCACGAAGTTAAGGAGTTGCAGACACATTGAGATAGCCTAGTGGTTACAGTGTTTGCTTGTCACCATTCTCCACATGGGTACAATGTGTGAAGCCAATTTCTGGTGCCCCCCAGGTGAAGTTGCAAGAATATTGCTAAAAGTGCCATAAAACCGTTCTTGCTCACTAACTAAAGGTGTTCCAATCCTGAATCTTTACGTGCCATATTTAAAGGCCTTAGTGGTATTCAGTGGTAACAAACATGAAGACCTCCAGGTTCAGACGAGCTCTGTGGAGTAGTTGATGCATGTGTTTTTCCCAGTGTTACACATGGTTGCTTAACTTTTGACCATCAGTATATTGCAAAAATGATGTCAGTTTTCCTTGATGCCAGTGATAAGTTTATGTTGATTTCTTTCCTAATTACTACTTATTCTGAACATACATGAAACATGTTGGACCAATCCTTGTTTAGATGTAAACTCAACGAATTCAAATGTATGACATTTCTGTTTTTTCCTTGGAGATTGGCAGAATTGTTTGGACAGTGTTCTGTTTGTTACCTAAGTCAAAGGGAACGTAGGTGTGGGCCTTTGCCCCTGACATAGATAAGACATGGCTGTGAAATTATATTCCATGGTTGTTTTCACATCAAGTCAGGCATGTAAAGAAATAGTGCACAATTGTGATTATTCACATTGACAATCACAATTGTATTTTTTGGGGCAAGCCCTGAGACACTTAAGGTACTTTAACCAGATAGGTACCTTCAGACAGCTATTGTCCGACATGCTACCAAGTCAAGTATGAGATTTGAAATGATGAGAATTAGCGGTACTGTTGGATTCAAGGAGAGAAAAATGAAAACATGCAGGCAATTCTTGGCATAAGTGAACTTTGCCTTTTTCAATCTTCTTTAATCTGTGTTGTCATGGAAACAGACCCGAAATTAAATTAGGGAAATAAGTTATTATTTAGTCATTCAGACAGAAAATCATGAGAAAATGTTTCTGGTAAGTTTTGTAGAATACTCTAGTGTTCAGGATGTGAGCATGGATGCGTGATTGTGAAAGGTTGTGTATAAAAGCACACTGGCAACTAAACATGGATGTGGTACACAGCAGCTGTGGAAGGATGTTGTTCATATAGTGGTCCACATCCTTGAGATGATTAATATAATGATTGTCATTGTCTTATAATGCTTATTTTGTTTGTTTAATTTAATTCCAATTGATTTAGCAATCCACAAATTGATGCCCACCGGTATATAGCGCCTCCATGTAAATATCACTAATGAGGTCGTAGAAATACACGCAGGATATTTTTCATCCAAGATGTAGATTTTGAAATCCTGATCCCTTATCATGTAGCATGTTAACAGTCTAGCAAGATAACAAGGTATTTGTTCCCACCATTTAGAATGTCATACGTTTTGTTGAAAATTAACTTTAATGTAGTGTAATTAGCAAAACGTTTCCTTATGTCGGAGCCACTTGCAAAATGCAATCTTAGTGCTATGGCTTTTGAAGAAATGCTACATATGATTGTCAGTCTTAGCTCTAAGATAGTTTTGCGCAAGGTCAGCGAAATCTGGAAGGCAGGTAATGCATTGTTAGCTTCATATTTGTTTATATATTGAATTGGTATGTAATTGTCTGGGTTTCCATAATTATGGCAACTCATTGTTTGATGGAATTTAGAGTTTAACAAGTACCTTGTAGCTATTAAACTTTTGTTATGAGCTATGTATAGCTCATCTTGCATGAGCCTCTCCTGAAACCCCAGTCTGATGGCCACAGTGGATGAGGATGGCAGACGGCGTTTGTTCTTGTGGGAATTACTATTTTCAGTGTGGTTCTGTATAAGTTGGCACTATTAGGTTAGAAGCATTCAACATTAAGTTTGACCCATGCTAATAACAAACACGGGGTAACAAAAAACATGTGCACATGCTTCATAGATGTAATCAGAATTCACAGCGAAATAGATCAGTGAAATGTACATTTTTTACATCACTACTTTAATAGCTTTGTAATTTTTATTGTTTTTGTACAATATCTAAGTTTGAAAACAAATTAAGCATTGAAAGGATACTTTCGGTTTGAGAGCTTTGAACAGTTTCTGGAGAGCTGGGCGCTACATGTAAGCATGCTCTGGTTATGTTGAGTGTAAGAATTGTAATGAAATATTCTCCCTTGAATGATCACGTGATTGTTATCAGAAGGAAAATGATTCTACAGTGTAAGATTGCTTTGTTATATCTTGAGCTGTGAATCTATTTACAGATTGTTGCTGTTTTACTAACAATATAACCATGGTTACGCGGTGACCTGACGAAGAAATGGCATTTGCTTTTTAACAGCTAATGACCTATGAATGTGTTGTTCAAAGCATCGGGCTATAACATATTTATTTCTGAATTTCTCATTTCATGACTAGTGATTCATTCATACTATCAGAATATAATTATTTTCCTAGCATTTTTAAAGTCAGATATAAGATAAAAACATCTGTGTCTATTTTTCAAGGAGATATAAATGGAAATTTAAAAATGAGTATATTATGGCCCAAAAGTTGTCATCAACCAAGTCATATTTCATGGGACTATTTTCTGTAATCAGTTTTAGTCTTTGTCTACAAGTAATGATAGGCCTGTGTATATTGGATACGACATAAAGTTAATAACATGTTGTATGCATACACTGAAGCCTTGGACATGGCATCAGTACTTGAATTTATGAAATTGCATACACTGGGTAAATGAAGCCAACAGTTGACTTCTACGATATGTTAGAGGTTGTATTTTGGAGACTCGGTAATGTTCTCATTGTATGTAAACTCATGGTATACACTACAGAACACTACACCATAGGCGTCACAATGTTGGCGTGGTCACCGACTTGGTGGCTCTACATTACACATATCTATGTAGGTTTGATAACTGTCTCTCTTTCATACCGGTCATTGTATTCCTACCTATTTCAGCTCAGGCTCAACCACACCCCTCTTAGTGAAGAGCATTTCCCTCCTCTTGCAAAACTATTCCCCCTCTCCCATTCCCCCAATCATCCTTTAGCTTTCCTCTTTCTCCACCAACAAACCCATTCCAAGATGTCTGCTGCAAGCATTCCCTTCCCCCCAAGGCACTTTAATCTCCCCTTGTTCACGTCCAGCAGAAGCACATGCCTTCCCCAAACATATCCCAGCCCTTACCCTCTTCACCCTGTGTATTCACAGGTTCCACCCCTCCCAAGCTCATCCAATCACTTTGTGTATTTAGATGCCCTCTCATATAAGCTCAATGCCCCAAATCCTCCCTACTACAACCCATCACCCTTTACATACTCAAACCCTCACAAGCACAACCCCACATCCTGTTTCTTTACATACCCAAACCATCCCAAGCACAAACCCAACTGCCTTCACATACCCAAACCCACACAAGCACAACCTCTCCCTGTTTCTTTACATACCCAAACCATCCCAAGCACAAACCTAACAGCCTTCACATACCCAAACCCTCACAAGCACAACTTCTCCGTTTCTTTACATACCCAAACCACCCCAAGCACAAACCCAACATCCTTCACATACCCAAACCCACACAAGCACAACCACTCCGTGTTTCTTTACATACCCCAGACCCTCCTGTCTACAACCCTGTTGCCATTCCCTCGCCGCCACTCGATACTTCAAGGGACCGATATAAGCATCCTGTGATCAGTCAGTGTGTTTAGTATTGCTTAGAACCAGCAGGAAATTGCGACGTTGACACTACAGTACAGCACTTGCAGCTTTTTGTAGAATTCTCATTACATGGGGAATGTGTATTACATACATTGAATATCTCATGATGAAAAGACAAAAAGTGACACCAGTGTGTATTAATCACAAGTAAATATTCTATATTGGATATGGCATTTACTGTAGGCAGTCTTCAGTCGGCAGATATGGTGCCGACTGTTTTGGTTCAGTGCTGACACTGTTTTTGTCATGTGCCGATTGTTCCGGTCTCTGCGCCGGTGGAGTGCACAGAGTGGATGCTATATCCACAATGTGTTAGAGAGAGCTAGTCAATGCAGAAGGTTAGAACGGGATATATACCCTGTTTATCTGTCAATCTATGAATAAATTTGCTGTGAAAGACTTGATTTGTTATTTTCCTGTTTAGTCCAATGCATTCAAATTCTTCCAGCTGGATTCAGTTCAAGATTCCATTGCTGATATCTTGCACAGTCTTCTGGAACCGTTCCAGGTGGAATTATCAGAAGGAGGAATATCACAAGTTAACAACTAGAAATGATATTGTACAGCGATAGCCTTGTGGTACAGGACCCTTGTGATACAGGACCCTTGTTGGATGATGTCAATACCTGCGAAACAGTCCACTGCACCATGCTGAAAGACAAACGTGTGTCACTAAGCACTTAGAAAGTGCATCTGTTTATTTACACCTCAGTCGCCTATATTCCACCTACATCATCATCCATGTCTCTACCAAGTCACTGAACCTGACATCCAGATCCATTAAGTCGCCTTTTACAACCAACCTAGGTTCCTGTCACTTTCACTAGGCTTCCTGTGGGTAGTAAAGGAAAAAATACACTTTAGAGCATTTAACATTTTATTCACTTTTTTCACTACATTCAAGGACAGTTTTCATTTTCAAAGCTTCCAAGCTATGATGTAATAGACCTATTGGCACATAATGATAAAATGACTGATATTTCTCGTCATACCATGGTAAGTATCGATATGTTAGGCCCTCTATGATCCTCGATACCACTGCTACGGCTTGTGACAGTGCAGACAGAGAAACCTTTCCTGTGGAGAATCCACCACTCTAAAGATCTTAACGACCACCCAGTTCTTTTATATTTATTTCTATGGTTGATCAGTCACACCGGGAACAGGGTGGTCCTTAACTTCTTTTGAGTGCCAGTATCAAATGGAGTTGGGCTAAATGCCACAATGAACAGTATTTCAGTTATATCACGGCATGTCAGCTTCAGGAAAGTTAGCAAACATTCAGCACATCAACCCAGAATTGGATTTGGTGCTGACGAACCAAGAAACTCTGGGATAGATCTCTGCACAGCTGATGTGGTGCCATGGACAAATGGGCCACCCCCCAAAACACTTTTTGAACAAAATTAGCATTTCGGATATGTGCAGGATAAATGTGAACAGCTTCAGTGGTCTGAACCTTTTACATCATGATAGAGAACACACTTTCAATTCTGATACAGAGTTATGTTCACAGTTGCAGTCAACCATTGCCTTGTGAGGACTCGGTGAAACACAACACCTGGAACAGAACAAATCTACAAAACTCTGTGACTAGTAAAGTATTGGAATGAATGTTTTCAATCCCAAAGTCCTCAGTCATCCAGCTACAGGCAGCTTGTCTGGACCAGGCAATTCAGTGACTAAAGGCCTCAGTCATCCAGCTACAGGCAGCTTGTCTGGACCAGGCAATTCAGTGACTAAAGGCCTCAGTCATCCAGCTACAGGCAGCTGGTCTGGACCAGGCAATTCAGTGACTAAAAGCATGAGGAACAATCCACATAATTTTAGTTCATTAAGTCACAGAGGTAACCTGGTCCTTACTTTGTCTGCTGATAAGTCACAGAGGCCACCTGGTTTTTACTTTAACTCTGCCCTGGAAGGTACAGTTGTTACTTAGTCCTCTGACAAGCATAATACAGATCTCAAGAGACTGGTACATACAATCATTATTTTGGTTGTTTTTTTAAAAAGATTGCCTAACAAAATAATATTGAATATCTTTATGTTGAACATGTTCCTTTGGCAAAGTGAGGCAGGACTGCATCACAGGAGTGAGTGAGTGAGTTGGGTACCATGTGATACAGTAATGATACCATGTCTTTACAATGTGCAAGGAAAGCCACACCTTCAGCATGGGTATGGTGTTGGTGTTCAGTGCAAACTAGGATTCAAAACAATGAGAATAGGTTTCCTGCATGCCCATGGTATGTAACACTGTACACTAATCTGACAATCATTGAAATATTTTATTCTTGACATCATTCAGAATAAAACAAGTGCTCTGTCTGCATATACATGAAACAAGAAATATCTCAGCGCTTGATGGATTCTGTAGAACACACCTGTCTAGGTTTACCCTGGGTTTAAAGGAAGTCAGATGTGTTGTTCTCTGGTACTCAGCTCTTGATCACAGATCACATATTCAGATCAGTTAATTTTCTTCTTTACAGATAAAACTAGCCCATTTTTTGTGAAAGTGATGTAAAAAACACTTCTTCAAACGATCATTTTCTTGATTTCTTTTGGTCACAATATTCTTATTAACCCCATCGAAACAATACTGAAAATATGGCCTCAAAACACTTGCACCTTGATGATAAAGGGTCCCAAAACAAGCAATGACATGGGTCTGGCACAAGGTACAGAAAATATGAACAAACAGGCATCTGAATACGCTCATTTCAACCAGCTCAAAGTGTGTGTTTTTTTCCAAAATATGGTTTGAGGCCTATTCCCATCTCAACAAAATCTGACATTACTAATTTTGCTACTCCTAACAATGAAGTATATATGCAGTTACCATGGTTACATGTAAAATGTGAAAGAAATTGGCTTGATCCACAAAATATACATAATTATATAATACACATCTGGACACATGACATCAAATTTACCTAAATAGATACATGTTATCTTCCCACAAACAGGAAGCAAATCAAAACTTTATGATCAAAAACCACTATTTCTTGTGTGATAGTGAATACATTGATTGTTAGTTTCAATTCATTTGTTGATGAATTCTGAAAGTAATGTAATGTTCCACACACAGTTTATATATGTGCACACAATAACAATGTAGCCATAGGTCATTGTTGTATATGTACATGTTCACACTCCATTCATACAAAACAAACTGGTATCTATAGATACACAATACCGAGCATCACAACATTCAAGTATAAATGTGACAAGTATCACAATATCACTCCAGAACATAATAATTGACAACCAAATAAACATTCTACTTTATGAGCATAGTATATACCGAATGAAACATAGAGTGACATTGTATCAGCACTTATTATATCGAACACAACAGTCTGACTGCTCATACCTTGTGGTCAGTCATACATTACACGTTAATAATGTGAGGACAACAAAAATTAAGAAAAACATTTTCTTTTTACAGTGTGTTCTTTAGAACATGTTCTGTTTGTGTTCTTGCTTGAAATTTGCATGACACGGAGGACTCTTCTACCACAGAATTCCAACAGGGAGACAAACACGGGTTACCGAGAACGTGTTTTAGCCCTGGCCCTGCTGACTTCTGTACAGACAATAATCCATTCAATTTCAGTCACATGCTTCAAATAGACTGTGTCTAGTCCTGAGTCTTCTTGTGAGTAGACAGGAAGCATGTCTACAGGGGAGACCACTACGGACATGAGTGTTCAGCGTGTCTTAGCGGCCTACCATGGGTTTCCTCCCTAGATGTAGAAGTGAATAGGTTGTGTCAGAACTAACATGCGCTGACAGTATTAACACAGGCATATCAACAGATCCAAGATATTGCAATTCACATGGTGAATGTATTTACTTGTGATCTATCACACATTATCAGCATTCATATCACACCATTCAATAAGCATGTCTTCATTGAAGCACATCTTCCCAAGCAACATTAAGGGGAGATAACTTTGTAACATCTCAAATGAACCACATCCAGCCCAATCACAAGTAGCAAAGTATATCCATAAACAAGATGAAGATGTTTATAGTTCATTTCCTGACACATCTTCAGGACTTTACATCTCAAAACGTCAATCACAAAATTAATATACAGACTCATATTTAATTCCGCCCTACTTTTGTTAATACTGATGCATCAACACCTAAACATCCCCTGGAAACTTGTTTTGTTTTGCTCAGCTATTTCAGTTTGAGCTTTGAATAATAGATCCGTTCTACCACATTTTGTCAAAAAATCAAGAAAGTGATGAGACATGTATCACTTGTGCATGTAGCACTGTGACCACAAAGGATCATAATCACAGCAACACTGAACTTGTGATCCTGGGACAACAAAGGGAAGCAACTCTGTACAGATAGATCCCGTGCCTTAGAGGCCATCATGGGGCCATCATGACCCAATAAGCTTTTAAAGATCATTATCACTCTGAAAATGCAGCTCAAGTTATATGTAGGCCGGTTCTTTCAAAATTAACATTCCTCTTAAGATAACAGAAGATTTTCTAAATCTTCAAACTGTTTGCCTCAAGTAATAACAAAAAACATTTTCAACATGTCAAAAAAATCCCATAAAAATATTTATAGAACTAGACAATTGCCCTGAAAAAGATCTTAAAAATGTATCTACAAATTATATCAATATCTTGGTATATCTTGGATTTTTGACAATTGCAGTCTTCTGAAGCAGCAGATAATAATTTAAATGGAAATATAGACTGGACAAGTGATTTCCCATCATTCATCCCAGTTAACAGGGAAATATTGTCAGCTTCAGGTGGAGCAGCTTGCAGTCACATTGTCCTCATATCACCTCATAGTATCACACAGCACTGATTTGTTTTCTTGGCCTGCAATACACAAAAATATCTCTTACAGAGGAGCGGTTCATATTTCTGTACAAGAAATGAACACATACAATAAATGCCACAACAATATTTAACATGACTTACTTGTTTTCCAATAACACACCAACTTTGTATTATGACTTATGTGGGGAAAGAAAACCTGAACTATGAATTGCTGTGAGGAAGAAATAACAATAATCTAGAAGTCAGATGATGGTAAACAAAAAGGATTTTAATAAGGACAAAACAAATCTAACAGTGGAACATATTAAAATCTGTCTTATGACATTGGTCTGACGGGACAACTAAATATACTCTCCTTAAAATAGATCAGAGTTTTGGTGGGACAGTACCACAACACTTGGTATGTAGAATGACCGACTGACTGAGTGTGGTTTTACGCCGCTTTTAGCAATATTCCAGCAAAATCATGGCGGGGGACACCAGAAATGGGCTTCACACATTGTACCCATATGGGGAATAGAACCCAGGTTTTCGGCGTGACGAGAGAACACTTTAACCACTAGGCTACCCCACCGCCCCGTATGTAGAACGAGAATAATGACAAAGGTTGTACACATCTCCACCTTGTTGAATTGAGTAAATGAGTGAGCGAGTTTGATTTTATGTCGCTTTTAGCAATATTCTAGCAAAATCTTGGCAGGGGGACTTGAGAAATGGGCTTCATGCATTGTACCCACGTGGGCAATCATACCCGGGTCTTCAGCATGATAAGCTACCCCACCGCCCCTACACCTTGGTGAAGCTAACGAGCAATGCTGTGAACACACTGACTACTAATCCTTCACATAGAGACAGCGGTGACTCACGGTTTTATAGAAAGCTTTAGACTGTGTACTGAGGCCCTCGGACTTGTCGACGAGATCATCCAGCTTCTCCCCACGTTGCAGGACTGCATCTATTGTGTTGTGCTGGAAAAGGTTTTCAGGTGAGTATCTGACAGTATAAGCATCAAAAGTTGGGGTACAATTACACATCATCAGTCATGCCAGGGCTTGGAACCTCCAAGAAACACTTCAGCAGTGTACACAATGGGTAACAACATCAACAAAGTCACATCCAAAAACAAGTGATCCTTAGTTGTCTCCCTTCATCAATGGAGTTTCATCTTGGCCACTAAATACCATTGAGTGGATTCACCTCACCACAATATGGTCACAGGGTCTGAATACACAGGAGAATGAGGGAGTGAACATTGTTTTATGCCCAATCAGTTTCATTGGTTGGTTGATTTGTTGTTTAATGCAGCACTCTTCAATATTTCTGCTATATGGCGGCGGTCTGTAAGTTATCGAGTCTGGACCAGACAATCCAGTGATCAACAGCATGAGCATCGATCTGCGCAATTGGGAACCGATGACATGTGTTAACCAAGTCAGCAAGCCTGACCACCCGAGCCCGTTAGTCGCCTCTTACGACAAGCATGGGTTACTGAAGATCAATTCTAACCCGAATCTTCACAGGTTCCTTCAGATAACACACATTTGGTCCCTTCACTGTAGGAGATAACAGACACTATTTGTCACCTACATCTGTGACCATCAGACCCTTCTAACTGTCCGTCCTGCATCAAGTGAGGGGTGCTGTGGTGCTATTCTTCTAACTGTCCGTCCTGCATCAAGTGAGGGGTGCTGTGGTGCTATTCTTTAACTACACCATCCAAGAACATCCCCAACTCACCAATATTATCTTTGTCTCATCCAGATCATTCTGTATCTTTGTCATAGCATCTGCTTCTTTGGGGTTCTGATACTTCTGCAGGTAATCATTCAACTGTGGGAAGTTTATCTGACTGTAATAGACAAACAGATCATCCATCAATGGCTGTTGGTGTGTTTAGAATCTCACCTATGATGCAAAGCGAATCTAACCCGATGTTACGTAGTGTTGATATATTTGTTATCAAAAGACAGACGGAAAGTTTCTATTTTCCATTCAAATGACTGGTGATGTCATTTGATTGTGATGTCATGGTAACCAATGATATCACAATGGTCTGCAAAGTACAATCAAGCTATAGCTCCTGAGGCTGCTTGGCTTATAAAGTTCAGGGATTGGCTACAAATCTCCTGAGGCTGCTTGGCTTATTCAGTTCAGGGATTGGCTAAAATTCTGATGAGTCATGATGACTGAGACAAACATTCTCAAATGAAAAATGAACCATAATCATAGCGAAGGAAAATGTGAGTCTGTGAATGTACTAATCTGAATTTTACTAGATCAAATTTACTACAGTTAACAAACTGGATCATTTCGCCAAGGAAGTGATGCTTCTGTTTCTATAAACAGGAAAAAGTGAAGCCTTACCTGCTACCAAGGACATCCCAGTTTGACTTGGGGTATTTGGAAGCAAAGTCATCAAGCACCTGAAACAATAATGATGAAGTAGTGCAGTGAGAGAGTTGGATGTGAAGTGCTTTGGACATTATTTCAGTTATATCATGGAGTCCACTTAAAATAAGAAGAAAGCCTGATACAAGTCTCACAACCTGAAAGCTTGGGTATGATGAGGACAAACCTAGACACATATCTGGGGCAAACCGAGATTTGGACTCAAGAGGATACAATTCCGGTACCGACAATTACTTCACCATCCACATACAAACATGCAAAAAGGTATTCACTCCAGTTTCTACTTACCCTTGATTTTCATTGTTAGGGAATTTTACAATTACATTATAAAACTAAAACATACACTCCAAAACCACCCTCATGTTAATCATCATAGTACAATGCTGTGTGTAAATACCTGTACAGGTACAACAGTAACAAGACATATTTTTGCCAATTTACTATGTAATTATTACAATTATGAGCTGGGTAATGGATTTCCAACCAATATATTTCACTGATGAATGTTGGTCAACATATAAGTTTTAACCATGAGGGATCCCTACAAGATGCTCATGATGTGAACCACTTGTTTGTGGTTCACACATGATGCGGGCAGTGGGGGTAGCCTAGTGGTTAAAGCTTTGGCTCACCACACTGAAGACCCAGGCTTGATTCCCCACATGGGTACAATGTGTGAAGCCCATTCCTGACGTCTCCTGCTGTGATTTTGCTGGAATATTGCTAAAAGCAGTGTAAAACCAAACTCACTCACTCACTCACACATGATGCAAAGGATATAGTTACGCCAGTATGTTCTGTGAGAGTTTGGATAAAGTACTATTTGCATGAATCATACGGTGACACCAGAGCTTCAAGCCATCATTACTGTCAGCCAGAAATTATCTCTGATGTGGGGAGTATATATCATACGAAGGGCGGTGGGGCAGCCTAGTGGTTAAAGCGTTCGCTCATCACACCGAAGGACCCGTGAAGATTAGGGCTGGGACGGGTAGGGAAAAATGGAATCGAGTACCCGCATGTTCTTACCCGAATCGGAATCGAGTACCCGGAAACGTCAAGAATAAAGCGCTTCTGTCAACTTTCTGAATATTCAATCACGATTTGACAGAGATTTTTTTAGAAAACATGAGAGGATGGCAATAAGACATTGAAACTGATCTTAAACTATTTAATTTACGTCTGTTTAACTGATACAAAGAGCAACACCATTACTAACTTATATTCCACTATGACTTGACAACTCATTGCTCATGTTCAGATATATTACAATCGTTAATAATAACCTCCATTAACCGGACAATACCAAAGATGTAATTAAATGTGTGTTACGTCAATGAAAAAAGGCAATTTATTCTGTTGTTGAACTGCTTTCAGATGTGATATTCTAACTGAACCTATAATGTTTTACATGGGGACTTTATGTAAACTTACATAGAATGAAATGTGATTGATGTATTTACTGACTGGAAAATTCTATACGAGATATACAGATCGGCAATCTGTAATGCAACTGAGTTAAGCAGCATAGCAAAATGCTTCGCTCGCATGAGGGAAGACTGGTCATTTTGCTCTGTTGCGCAAGTCAGTTGCATTACAGTGTGTCTATTATACATTACATAGTACAGACAAATACAGGACCGTGAATAACTCATTAACCGTAATTAAAGTTTTATCCTTCCAGAAGGTTATTAAAAGTTGCATTAAAATACTTTTGTTTGAATGTAGCGACAAAAGAAATGCATCTAAATGCTATATTTTTACGCTTAGATAAACAAAACAGCACAAAACTATTGTTATTTAAATATTCTAAATTTGTATAAAAGTGAACACTGAGTTCTTTCATTGAAGTTGTGTTTATATATTTCTGATTATCTTTCTTCTTATTGTCATGATAATCAGCCTAACATTGAATTTGGTAAATCAGAATGTGCTCTTTTAATAAACGCTCGCTTTATTATGTTAATTTATTAGTTTTAATTGATAATCCCAACACATACAATCATTTAATTACAATCTCTTTTATGGTGAATGTATTCAGCTTTGACACAGAAGTTAAATATGTGTCTCATGAAATTGAAATGAAAAACTAAAGACAACATTCAATGTAGTCTTAACAGCCAAGCTTTTATGAACTAACTTAATAAGCAATTAGAGTTACATCGATGTAATGAACACCTTCGTGTTTTACGCTGTGTTTTAGAGCAAGATGTTTGTGCATCAAACTTGTACTGTTTCTGCAATAAATAGCATGGTACACGCAGTCGCCAATTGGTTCTGCCATTTGCACCAAGCTCAAAATGAGCCCAAACAATCAACTTAGCTCATTTGCTTTAGGTTAGCGTTTACATTCCCTTGACATTACAGAGTTCTCTCCCTTTCCGGGTACTCGATTCCTTGAAATAGGACTCGATTCTAGCTGTACGGATTCGAGTACCCGAGTATCCGTCCCAGCCCTAGTGAAGATCCGGGGTAGAATAGGTCTTCAGCAATCCATGTGCTTGCCATAAAAAGGCGACTATCTTGTCGTAAGAGGCGACTAACGGGATCGGGTGGTCAGTTTCGCTGACTTGGTTGACACATGTCATCGGTTCCCAATTGTGCAGATCGATGCTCATGCTGTTGATCACTGGATTGTCTGGTCCAGACTCGATTATTTACAGACCGCCGCCATATAGCTGGAATATTGCTGAGTGCGGCGTAAAACTAAACTCACTCACTCACTCACTCATCACACCGAAGACCCAGGTTCGATTCCACACATGGGTACAATTTGTGAAGACCATATGTGGTGTCTCCCGTCGTGATATTGCTGGAATAATGCTAAAAACAACGTAAAAGTAAACTCACTCACATATCTTATAAAAAGTAGTGACATTCAACTCAGTCAATAATACTCCACTTTTGTATAAAGGAGTGAGTATGGTTTCATGTCGCTTTTAGCTATATGATTACAGCAATATCTTGATGGGACACCAGAAATGGGCTTCACATTTTGTGTCCTTGTGGGGAATCGCTTTGGCATTATGAGCGAACGCTTTAACCACTAGGCTACCCCACTGTCCCTCTTGAATATACGGTTAAAGTGGCATCTTCGACATACAGTACAACCAGAAATTATTGAGAATTTAAAGATTGTAATTTTTTTTTTTTTCACTCATTACTCACGTATTAATGTGAATATTAGCAGAACATAACTCCAGATTTAAAGACTGCTGAACAGTTAGTATTTTGTCAAGTCACCATGGGCAGCAATGCAGGCTTCAATGCGGCGGGGCATACTACTGATCAAAGAAGTTGGAAAGTCGTGGTCCATGCTGTCCAAATATCAGACCACCTCTTCTTTCATTTCAGCAATATTTGTCAGATTTTTCTTATTGACACTTTCCTTCATAAGTCCCCAAACATTTTCTATTGGATTTAGGTCAGGGCTATAGCTTGGCCAATCAAATAATGTCAATATTTTGGGTCCGAAACCAGGCCTGTGAATGCTTTGAACGATGTTTTGGGTCATTGTCCTGCTGGAAAATCCAAACATTTCCATAGAACACGTGAGCAGATGGAAGTAAATGTCCCTCGAGAATATCTGTGTACCGCTCACTGTTCATATTCCCTTCAAATACACAGAGGGGCGTTGCCCTAATACAGATATGCCACCCCACACGTTAAATTTCGGACTGTACTTTGGGTGCTGATACAAAGGTTTTTCAGTTTGTTTGGTCCAGAATTTCAGTGTATTAGGAAACAGCCACACAGAACTTTCATCTGAGAAAATCACATTGTCCCAGTTAAAATTTCTATGCTGTAAGCACCAGTTCAACCTTCGCTCTTTTTGTTCAGGTTTCATTATCGGTGATGGAATTCCGCAACATTTCTGCCAACCCATTGCATGCAGCTCAGTTCTAATTGTCTCCTTACAGACAGCCACAGTTCCTCTATCAATCATATCCAGCCTTAAGTTTTCTAAACTCCTTCGTTTGTTTTTAGAAACAAGAATACCAAGCCTCCTCCTGTCACTGACAGATAATTTTCTGGGCCTACCTGCGCCTCTCTGGTGCTCAATGCCATATCCATTTGCAATATTTTTCAAAACACGATAAACAGTGGACAAAGGGATGCCTGTTCTACTTGAAATCACTTTAGCTGATCTGATGTCCTTGTTATAATACTCTAAAATCAACTTCCTCTTCTCTAAATCATCCATACTGAGGATCACTGAAAATGCCGTCTGCTAGCAAGTAAACAAAGGGGGATAACTCTTCACAAACTAATGAAAAAGGATTAACAGAGTTGTCTCTCTTGAATGAAACCGAGCACTTGAGAGCTGGTCATGGTTGTTTATACTAGAAATCCAGTTAAACATATTCCTAAAATTCTCAATAATTTCTGGTCATACTATGCCTCCAATCCAGTGTATAGCCAGAACAGCTTTAACAATAAAGGGTACGAGAAAATTGAAATATCCAGTATCCTTGGCTGACAACATATTGATTGATAAGACAGGTGTTGCAAATCAATCTCATGTTCAATAGTGATTATTGATCAAACTTTTAAAATATGTTATTAAACCTACCATTTCTATTTACACACATCAATACAGAAGTTTTAGCAATGAAGAACATTAAATCATGTTATGCTGTTATAAACAGATTGAGTGGGCGGTATGAGTGACCTGGTTCACTACATATTTTAACCTGACACCTTCAGCTCATGGTTCAACCACTGGTTTAGCCCAAATTTAACTCAGTGAACTCTCATGGACTCCCTTCATTCATGAATGAATGAACTAGTCTTTCCTTTGTGTTAGTAGAAACCAGCAAAGTTTGTGTATTTCTTGGTAGTCTCAAGTATTCACTAAAACCACTGTTGCGTAAATCACTCTGTTCTTCATACCTCCAACGTTTCTTTTACAGTCCCACAGGTGAGAAGATAGCAACATCTATACTCCAATAGTGACTAATAATGCCAAGATGATGGTACCACCCATACCTTAACAGTGACTTACGAGGGATGT